ATTAATATATAATATATTAATATATTATATATATTAATATATATTTTTATATATTAACATCTATAATATATTAATATATTATATATAATAAATATATTTATTTAATTAATAAAACATAAAGCAGATAAAATAAACATTTTTTTTTATTTGTATACTTGTACATACACCCCAAATGAAGTGACCCCGCTGCTCTCCTTTTGTTGTTTTTTTTTGTTGCTTATAAACTCGCCTTTATAAAAAAAAAATAAATAAATATATTAATTATATTAAAATATTTATTTATTTTCTCTGTTCTACATATTTATTATTTATATTTATTTTTTTTTTTTTCTATAGAGAGGGTTTATAAGAGCTGGTTGCTGCACCTAGACACTCCAGCCGCCCCCCTCTTTGTGTTTATTTTTTGGCTGAAATGTCAGTATTTATTTTTTAATTTAATTTAAATTAATATTTCGAGTTTTTTATTTTATTTTTATATATTTTCTGCTGCAGTTCCGCCCGTGTGGTCCACTGGTCACGCACCAGAGCTGCACATACACCCGGGGTGCACCGCTGTTTGTTTCAGTAGTATTTTTTGGTGTATTTCTTTTCTGTGAGATTTATTAAACAAATTAATTTAATTTTTTTCTATTTTAATTTATATTTATCCTTTTCTAGCTCTGCTTACCCTTCTTTTTCTTCTCTGTCTCACCCTGCTGCTGCCTGCTGCTGCCTGCTGCTGCCTGCTGCTGCCCCCTCTCCCCGCTGCACCGCAACCAAGTAGAAGATCCCCTCCTCCTGGGCCTTTCCCTGCATGCAGAGATGAGTGACAGCCCCAGCAGCAACACCCCCAGCAACACCCCCAGCAGCAGCAGCAGCAGCAGCAGCAGCAGCAGCAGCAGCAGCAGCAGCAGCAGCAGTAGCGCGGCTGGGTTGCCTACAGCTGCCCGCCTTCTCCATCGCCAGACGGCACCGGGGGCCCCCAGCAGCAGTACCCTCTCTCCTCTCTCTCCGTGGGCAGCTGCTGGGGCCCAGGGGCCCCTGAATTCTGTTGGGGGCCCCTTCTCGGGGGCCCCCAACCCTTTGTTTGCTGCAGGGGGCGGCAGCTCGCTGCTGCTGCTGCAGTCGCTGCAGCAGCTGCAGCAACAGCAGCTACAGCAGCAGCTGCTGCAGCGACAGCTGCAGCAGCAGCTGCTGCAGCAGCAGCAGCAGCAGCTCCTCAGCCGTCCTCACAGGGCTGCTGAATCGCAAGCCGGTGGCAGCAACGCACGCTGCGGGCTTCAAAGGACGCAGCAG